GGTTACATGGTGACTCTCGTAACCGATTACAATTGACTCGAAGTCATTCAGAATTAAGCTGTCACTGTATTCAGGCTCGTTGTCTGCCTCGTTGCCACTCTCCAGTTCTTCTGCTGGTGGCTCGTCGGGGTCCTGGTACAGCAGAGAATCCGCGAAGTAGTTTTCGACGCCTTTAAAGGGCTGCTTGTCGGCCACTACTGTCTTTACTCGCTCGTAGTCATCCACGTACTTCAAGCACTGGTGCAGTGTGAACGGGACTATTCGGTTGCCATGAATCCACGGACGTCCCAAGAGCATGTTGTAGGAGGGTTCGGCGTCGATGACGTAGCACGTCACCTCCGTCTTCATGTCACCTATCTGACATTTCAGGCGGATTTTGCCGAGCGGCCGAGTCCCCGTGGCGTTAAAGCCGAAGATGATAGTCACGGTCGAGGCTAGGCACTTTGACGGTATCCCTAAGTGTTTGATTAACTTCAGGGGCATGATGCTCAGCGCGGACCCCGGATCGACCTGAATCCGATCCACTTTCGACGAGCCGACGTATCCTATGAAGTACAGCGGCCGGTCATGAGACGTGCTCTTGATGAGCATGTCCTCAGGAGTGAAAGTGATGCACGGGACCCGTCTCTCGGAGACTTGGTAGCAAGTCGCACATTCCTGTTCTGCCTCTGTCTCCTCCGAGAAATGGGTAGAGAACGCCTCTGAGTCGGCCAACGCCTCTTGCAGGGCCTCTCGGGTAGACCTGGACAACCGGAGGAGGTCGTACATAGTGATTCGCACGGGGATGCTTTTCAGTTGCGCGAGCACGTTGAACCGGAAAGGCTGGCGGCTTGAGCTTGGTCCGTTCGGATTGGGAGGGGTTGCCGCGGCTGGCCTCGCGGGGGGTCCTGCCGGGTTCTCCGCCCTCGCAGGATATTCTTTCGCGAATTCTTTCTCTGCTCTCGTGGCAAAGACGTTGGCGTCCTCTTCAGAGTCTGTCAGGGCAGTCATCGCCGTGTTATCTCTATCCAGGATGCCGGAGACAACATTGCAGTGTTTTCCCTTAGCCTCCTTGGAAGGCTGTGCAGTCCATTGCTCATCATTGAGGAGGTCTGGATGGACCCACATTACCTGCCCCGATGGCAGAGTCTGTGGGACCAAACCCTTTCATCGCTGGTTGTGAGGATTGTCATTAGTGATTTTCAAGACCGCCTTGGGGATAGGAATCACCCCCGCTGGAGCTTGAACCTCCGGGAGACCTGTCCCAAAGCTCAAAGTGATCATGTTCGCAGTCACTTGCTTTTGGACTTTCTCTTTCTTCAAAACCCCCGCGTCGTAGAGGGCCTGGAGCTTGTCCTTGAGGACGTAGCACTTGGTTGTGTGATGGCCAAGGAATCTGTGATATGCACAGTAGCTTGGGTCACCGGTTTTGTCCACCTCCTCAGGTTTGGTGGCTTCTGGCAACTTAATTCGACCACTCTTGAGTAGAGTGTCGAAGGTCACCACCACCTGGTCATCTTTGAAATCATATTGCCGCTGGGGGCGTGGTTCAAATTGCCTAGGTTTCGGCTTTTGAGCAGCCTTTGGTACCGGGGCAGAGTCGACTGCCATGATCTCTTTTCCCCTCGACCGAGAAGGATTCTTCGGCGTAGCTGGCTCTGCTGCTCCCTTCTTGGACTGCGGCTCCTCGGCCTCCAGCCTCTTGATCATGTTTTCGACTTGTTCGCCCTGGCGAACAAGCTCCTTCCAAGTCCGGGTCTCTACTGCCCCTATCTTGGACAGGATATGGATCGACAGGTTGTTGCGGCACATCTCAATCAGTGTCGACTCAGAAACTTGGTCCCGACAGTGGACTGATCAATTCCGAAATCTCTTCACGAAGTCATTGACCGACTCCGACTTCCGCTGCTTCTCAGCAAGGAGAGTGGCCATTGACACTTCCGTGTCATCGTCGAAGAAGCGGGCGAGGAAGAGCTTCTCAACGTCGGCCCATGCCTTGATAGAGCCGGGTTCCAGTTTGCGGAACCATTCAAAGGCCACCCCCTTGAGGGTACCTATGAATAGTCGAGTGAGAATGGCGTCATTCCCTGTAAGAAACCTAGTCTGCGCCATGAAGTAGTAGATGTGCTGCGAGGGCGATCCCTTGCCATCAAATTGTACCAAGCTGATTGGCTTGAACTTCGCTGGGTATGGGACCGTGTCCCATTCGATAGGGTAGGGACGTACCACCCCCAGTTTGTTCATGTTTTGCTGGAGCTTCAGCGCGTTGAGCTGGTCCTGAAACTCGTCGAATCTCTTGTCACGGATGCTACTGCTAGGCGACGTTCCCAGCGACGTCTTGGAAGAGTAATCAGATTGTTGATTACTGTTGTCTTACATTTCAGTCGCCGGGCGACGGGGAGGTACCCACTCCTTGTCCCTAGTTTGCCGAGGTAAGAGACGCTGGGTCCTTTTCTTCTTCTTCTTCTTGTTCAGCAGTTGCTCCATCATCTCTCTTAGAGAGTCGATGGTCGCCTGCTGTTCCTCCAGCTTTTGAGCCATTGTCTGCTCGGGGTTGAGTTCGGTCATGTGTGCCCTCGCCAGCGCGTCTTGACTTGAGCGCGAGGTCTGAGATGTGGCCGCGGCCGAATGAACCTCGTCTTCACCGCAGGAGGGAGGTACCAGGGTGGAGTAATCGAACCCAATACTTGCCCCCCTGTGACTACGTGTTCGCTGGTATATGTCGTCCTGCCGGCGCCGAGCGAACCGAGTGTTAGGTCTCAGGACGGAGTCCGAGTCTGGGGAGTCGGAGAGTACTGCCTTGCCCTTATCCGTCATATTAATTGTGGCGGATGAGAGCTCTAGGTCCTCGATAGCGTGTCCTTTTTGGTGACGACGCCTTCGACAGGAGGGCCTTGGTCGAGAGGACTGTTGAGAAAGTCTCTCAAATACCGAAGGTTTCACCGTTCCAACGCATTGGTAGTCGGCGAGGACCGTGTGGATGAGTCTCTCGCAGTGGCACTGAGGATTCACCTCATGTATAGTGCATTTGCGAGTTAAGTATTCCCTGAGGTCTTCCGCGGGCGGTTGGTGACAACCCCTAGTCTCGGAAGGGTCGCTCGGGTGAGTGCACGAGAGATTTTTGGACGTGCTCTCGGGTGCACGCAGGGTGGAATGCTTTGGTGCTGGAGTTGGGCGATCTTGCCTTGACCAGCGGGTTTTCGCGTTTGGGCGAACTCCAGTACGTAGGCGGGTCTCAACCCTTCGTTTGGACGAGCGGGTTTGCAAGGCGTCGCCTATTTCCTTGCCTTTACGTTTATCAGCCAAAGAGTTATGGCGAGGCTCGCCAGCCTTCGAGGATTCGCCTACTCGGGTAGGCTCGTTCGCTCGGTGTGGTTTATTCGCATCAGGGATGTGACCTGAGAAGCAAAGTCCTCCTGAGCGGGTGGCTCTGCCTTCCTTGGTCGGCGCTCCTGATTTGGAGGTCCTTTCGACGTCGGGCAGTTTGCCTTCTCGTCTAGCATTTCTCGGGCCTGTACAATGATTCAGGCCATTGTGAGAAACGGAGGTTTGGACCTCCTGTCTGACGAGCGCGAGGAGAGCATCACCGCGGGCTGTGGCAGCGCAGTTTGTGCTGGAGTAAACCGACGTTTCCTTTGGGACATGCGTCTGCGGGGATCGCTTGGCGATCCATTTGGCAGACCCTTGCCCCTTGCGCTTGTTCTCCGGCTTGGCCTTGATCGATTGCGAGGGAGCGGGTTCCCCCGACGGGACTCGGGTGGAACCTTCAGGCACGGAGGCTTTGACCGTTTGAGGTCGACCTCGGCGCACGACTCTGTGGTGTTTGCGTGAAGCATCGCCACCAGAGGAAGAGGAAGACAAGTACTCTTCGTACTTGGCCTGGTCGAACTCAATGTCCAGGGACTACAGTCGCCCCGACAGCAACTTCATCAAATTAAGCCACCACCATTTCGTTTGATGAAACAGCTCCTCCCACTGTGGTTGCCATCTTCTGTAGGGTGTAAATTTGATTTCCCGAAAATAGGGAGTTTCGTTTGTATTGATAAGAAAGCTTATTACAAACTAATAATCAAATGTTTACAACAGAAGCAGAGGGAATGCCCTCTTTGTTTAGTGTGGGGACTTTAGGTGGCTATAGGACGCTTCGCTCGATGCTTGTGTCGAGTCTGCTTCCCTTGGATCGTTCGATCGAGGTTGCTGGAGAGCTTCAGTACGCAGTAGAAGCTCGAGTCGATGGAGTTCGGGTCTGCTTAGTAAGCCGGCGATCGGAGCTCAGAACTAGGCAGTGGTTCTGTAATGCAAGGATTATGCGAACAGCTTGGTCTCAACTGCTTTTCTCCAAGTTTTTCGACCTCCCTCAAAGCTTGCTGGAAGAGGCTTTTAAATGGAAGAAGGACAGCTTGACTGCTCCTTGAATTATGGGATGTGACCATACATTGTTCGGAGATATCCTGCTGCCCATTCGCACCACCAGTGGTCATTCGAAGAGCTGTGCTCTGTGTCACATCACGTAGGAGTGGGAAAGCCCCTCCTCGTATGCGTGACAACGGCTGTCGGATGCTTGCGTGGATCTGACCAACCACCGAGCGCCGGCGACTCATGCCCGTTGCTTGGACAACTGATGTGAGTCGCATTTATGAGAGTGCAGACTGTTTTGACATCTGTCTGCCCACTTGTACTGTAGGCGGTTGTTCGGCGGGCCTGGAGTGCCGTGCCTTCTCTCTTCAGGTCAGGAGAGGCGGGAAAGCGTGTTCCTGGTACTCGAGTGGGTTTGGACAGTTCGTCGAACGCCGGCTGATTCGTCTCCCGACTTAGATAGCCGATGTGAGTCGCATTTATGACTGTTCAGGTCGACTCGACACCCGTCCAGTCCTTCACACTGCAAGTACTGTGAGCGGCCGCCTGGCGGTCTTGGAGTACTGTGCCCTCTCCCTTT